ACACCAAAACTGGGCACAGGCTCACGATTTTTATTTGCCTGGTTTAGTGATTGTTGTTGTTGTTGTCGTTGTCGTTTTTCTTGGTTTCTTCTTGGTATATAGAGGTCATCAGCATGAACATCAACTATTTAGTAGTTGATGCAGCAGGGTAAGCGAGAGAGAGGGAGAGAGGGAGCGCGGGAAAACCCGACCAAAAACAAATATAAATGGCATTTTGGTCATAACAAGAGACCAAATAAAACAAGACAACTGCACAAGATAATTCCAAAAAAAAAAACAAAAACAACAAGAAGAAATACAAAAAAATATTAAATAACTGAACAAATGAAACACTTGACACTCTTATGTTTTGTTTTGTTTCGCTTTTTTTCTGAATCAAAAATGAAACATTGACATTTAAATGCTCCAAATGTTGCAAGAAGACAAGCGAACAACAGCAACAACAATAAAAAAAGCCAACAAAGTTGTGAAGTGCATCGCCAACGCTTAAAGACCAGCAAAACAAACTGCAAAACAACATATGGTGGAGCGGCAAAGAGGCATGGCGCGCCGCAATGCTGTTACAGATTAAAGATTATGCAAAACTATTTATCGTATTCATTCATGATTGATATATGCAGTGCATACGAGTACTTATATATCTGCAATGTATGGAGGTGAGTTATGGATTCGATAACAGCCAAAAAATACCATCAAGATTTCTTTAAAAAAAATTCCGATTTACTTGTCCAAAGAAGCATTCAACGAAAAAATTTGTATTGACATGGTTTTGCATATCACCCCAAGAGTTGTGTCAGTCAGTCAGTCAGCCTCAAAAATAAAAACCCCAACTAGACAGGTGATGTAATGGATGGTTTTTTCTTCTTCTCTGTCGTCGACGTCTTCGGTTTGTGTACGTACATGTAGTGGTAGCGGTTAAGCACATGTTATACATATGCCTGCAGTTGCCAAGTTGCATTTGCATGTCTACCCCAAATACCTACATCATACATAATCGCTCACATGCTATTCAGGTGTCATTTTGTTGTTCGTCATTGAAGTATTAGTTTCAGATTTGTTTATCGTTTTTTTTTTCTTCAACAAACCACAATGTTTGCATAAAATCGTCATCTTCACACGATATTTTTTAGAATTTGTTTAATTCTGGTGTTGTTAATTTATTTAAATTAGTAAATATATGTTTTGAGAAGGGATTGGTATGTCACAAATTATTTACAGGGTGCTAAGCATATTAAAAACAAGTAAGCAAAGGCTAAAGTCGTGCGCGGCCGACCATGTGATGCCCTACAACACTACAATATGTTAGAAGGCCCATAATGTCCAAATCCATTTTGGAAGATTTCGCTTTAGAAATTATGTCATAAATATTACCCTTAGCCTTTTGACCAGAGGCATTTGTACAATATTTACGCACTAAATATTTTACAGCTAAGTATAATGCAACGGTCATCCAAAATGCTAGACTTCTCACTTCTTTCATATAAAACCAGTAAAGAAAGTCCTAAAGTCGAGCGGGGCCGACTTTTTGATACCCTACACCACTTTGATAATTTAGTAGAGCTCCACTTAACAATTAAAAGTTTTTATGGGAGAATTCAATCATACACGCTATGATTATAATTATAATTTAAAGTTCAAAGGAGTAAATATACCGAAGCATTTGTTTCTTTTAAATTAGGACTTGTATTGCCCATTTGGTTCACAATTAATTTGAAATCGGATAAGGATATATATGGGAGCTATATCCAAATCGGAACCAATCTCGATAAAATTTGGCAAAGATATTTCTGAGCTGCATTTGTTATATTTCCCCAAATATTGTTGTTACAGAGTGCATATTACGGCTGCGGAGGACAAAAATAACAAATCGGATTAACAATATGTATGGGAGCTATAGCTATATCTGAACCGATCTTCATCAAATTTGGCATACTAGCTTCTAGACTCAATTCGGTCGTAAGTGCCAAATGTCATCCCATTTGGGCAAATATTAGACCTTTGGTGCACAATAAAAGGTAAATCGGACGAAGTTATATATGGGAGATATATCCAAATCTAAACCGATCTTGATAAAATTTAGCAAATGTATTTCTGAGCTGCATTTGATATATTTCCCCAAATATTGTGGTTACAGAGTGCGGTTATTACGGCTGCGGAGGACAAAAATAACAAATCGGATGAACAATATATATGGGAGCTATAGCTATATCTGAACCGATTTCGATCAAATTTGGCTTACTTATTTTAAGGCCTAATTTGGTTGTATGTGCAAAATTCCATAATTTTCGGCATGATATTACATATTTGGTGCACAATAAAAGGCAAATCGGACGAACATATATATATGGGAGCTATATCTAATTTTGACCGATTATTTCCAATTTCAATAGGGTTCGTATTTGGGTCAAACAAATGATATGTGTAAAATTTCATCTCAATCGGATAATAAATGCGACCTGCATTTTGTTCACAAGAATACATGGACAAACGGACGGACGGAGAGTCGGACTGACATGCATAAATCAACTCAGAAAGGGTCTATCTCGCTTCCTTCTCCATGTTACAAACAAATGCACAAAGACGTAATGCCCTTACCACTATGTGGTGTATGGTATAAAAAGTTAGTCACACAGCCCTACACAAATGCTAGAATTCTGTCCTGTCCTAAACTATAACTTCATGAAAAATTCCGTATTGATTGGTTTTTAATTGTGAACCGTGGAGCGACTGCAAAATCATGAAAAATTATATTTTTTCGTTCATTTGAACCGCTACGATCAAAAAATATGCTTATTTTCTGATTCTAATGGTACGTGAGGATCGGACGGTAGCTGCGATCTGTATATAATACCCTTTACACAATGTGTTTTGGGCTGTAAAATAAACTTTGCAAAATTATTCAGATCATAATCCCACTTCCGTGAAAAATGATAATCAAGCCATAATTGTGACCTGTAGCGTGATTACAAATTAACATGGACAGATACAGGGTGAGATGAAAAAACTGCAACTAACTATAGACTGCATTCATATCTAAGCCACTCGTCCGACTGCTGTTAAAATTATTCCAGTGAAAGCTCATTATATAGTTTACAAGCGCACAAAAGCATTTTGGTGAGAATTTTCCAGAAAAAAAGTTATTCGTGATGGAATTCAAGCGTGATAGTGTGGTTTCTTTATATTTGGCTGGAGAACCACAAGTGGCTATTGTTAGAGCACTTCACCATTTAAATGTGAATAAATCTATTGTGTCTCGTACCATCGATCGTTACCGTTAAACTGGTAGCGTAGCCCGACGTCAAGTAAGTGGACGGAAGAAAACAGCAACATCAGTAGAAATGGTTCGAAAAGTAAAGCAGCGACTTGATCGAAACCCACGTCGCAGTGGCCGAAAAATGTTTCGTGAGCTGAATATATCGTAATATTCCTTTCGGCAAATTTTGAAAAATGAGGTCGGGGTAAAGCCGTTGAATTTCCAAAAAGTGCAAGAACTTACACCGCAACAAGAAGAAAATAGACTTAAAAGAGCTAAAGAGTTGCTTCGCTCTCCTCGCACGTATTAATATTATCGCGAAAATATTCTGGAGGGTTATTAAAGCCCTGGCCACGCAAACATTTTGGACGCAGACCTTGAACATTCCAGCAGGATTCAGTACCATCGCACTCAGCCCTCGTCAACAAAGAATGGATACAAGATGAGGTTCCTCGCTTCATTTCCAGCGCCCTCACCCTGTACAGTCTCATGGCGTATTCCTTATCGAAATGGCGATTGGGTTCCGTTTTGTGAAATTGGAATAATTAAAAAATTGAAAGAATCGGGCCAAATTGCAATTATCCCCCAGATCCTCCCCCCTAGATCGAGTCAGTTCCTATGTCTCAGACAAATATTTGAAGGTGTTACATAATTTTTGGCCCAGTCAAATTTATAATACTCCTCATAGACTGCGTTGTAGGATATACTAAAATCAAATCTGAGCGAATTCAATTTTAAACTGCAAATGCCACCGAAATCCTTTATGTACCGTAAGTCTTTAATGTACCGTATGGCGAAATGGGGGATATAGAAAAACGTGGACCGACATAGGCCATTTACGGACGGATATCCTAAAACTTCGCTAAGACCTTTACTAAGACAAAAAAAAGTTATGACGAAGTTTAACCTGATTGGCATTCCTAACTGTAAATTTCAGTAAATTCTGTCGACGAAACCCCCGAAATAGCACAAATATATACATTTAATAAAGGTTATATATAAAAAATAAAAACATATATTTTCCAAAGGTTTATATGTTCCAAATTTATTTTTATTTGTAGAAAAGTTTATTTTTCAAAATATCGTACATTGGAAAGAACTGTGCTTTCCAATATTTGATATTTGAAGAATTCCAATCTCACTAGAAAACAAAACTTATAATGTTGGCCTGGTTTCTGATTTTCATGTTTTTTTTTTTTTTTTTTTTTTTTTTTTTGTCATAAAGAACTTTCCTATAGCTCTTAAAAAATCATCTTTTACTTAACCCTTTCGCGTAGTCTCTAATTTTGCTGTTTGTGTTTGAGAAGTTCACAGAATATTTTAATTTCAGGAAATGTTGGTATTTTGTGAGGAAAAAGCCAGAAACCAAATCGGATACTCACTTTTCCTTGACCTGATCGAAAAACTCAATTTCTACGATATTTCTTATGTTATTTTTTTCCTAAAACCATTTTTTTCTGACTCGTTTACTCACATAAAATTCTAAAGCGGCATTACGAAATGGTTTCAATTTGGAAAGATTTTAAAAACTTCATCAGAACTACAATTTGTTTACAAAATATTTAACTTAATAAAACCTAACACTCTCAACTTAAACACAAACCGCTCCTTTTTGTTTTTCTGAGCGAATACAAAACAAATTCTGCGGTTAGAGGTCATAAGCATGCAGCAATTTTTTCCTCTCATTTTCTCTAACAAAACTTAAAAACAAACTGCATTATGTGGTTGAATGTACAGTGTGTATGTATGTAGATATAATTGTTGTTCTTTTATTTAGTTAGTTTAAATTTTTAAATTATAAATCGTGTTTTATTTAATTTCGACAAAAAACTTTAGATTGTAATTTAATCGTATTCCGCACCTATAGTGAGACTTATTTCGCCAGGCTGTACGAATGTCTGATGATACCATTTGTTTGTGTCCAAAACAACTGCAGCGGGGAGGGGAGATGTGAGAAGAGATTTTAAAATTACATTCAAATAAATAACAAATTGAAACCTACTGATATCTCCTTTATTGACAACGGCATCGAATGATTTACATTTGAAATAACATTCGGGTGGTGGGGCCAATAGCCAACGTTTTCTGCCGGAAAGCTGGGCCTGCCATGAGGGTAAACGGACATTGTCAATCTGAAAATAGGAAAAGGTGTCACAGAATTTGAAAGATTTTTCCTTTTTTATCTAAGGATAAATTAGTTTGCCTCTTACATGCATATGTGCTCCCAACCCAGCCGTGCCAATAAAAAACCAATCCACATTATTATTTTCCGATGTTTCGGATAAAAAATAGGGCCGTCCATAGTGGCGTCGAAATTCTTCTGCCGTTTCTGGATTACAATTACTCCAACCAAAATACCATGGTTTTTCTTCTCGGCCCTGTGCCCTATTGTTGTTCTGGAAATATTCCACTCTACTTTCGGGCATATCTAGGGCCTCGAAGATATCACGAAATCCTGTTTTATATGGCAAAAATTGACAATCCAATATCTTGTCTCTACGTTGCGCATTATCGTAGACATCGTGGAAATACCAATAGTCAAATTTCTAAAATAGCAGATGCAGGAAGAAATTAAAATCCTAATCCAATTTTGAAGTACTATTTTTTCTATAATTCCTATCCTTTGATGAGAATTCAATATTTGAACTATTTTTTCTTACCTCCAATGCTGTCCAATTTTTGGTTGCATCTTCCACAATCACTGGTCTTGCAGAATATGCATATCTTCTTTCGAATTCCTCCGGCGTTATATTGGAGACTCTCTCAATGGCATCCACGTTTTCACAAAATGCACAATTTTCTGGGGGCCGAAAGGCATAACGCATAAGGGTGGGCATTTGAAATGTACATCGCTAAAAGGGTGTCAAGGAAAAATATTTATGCAAAATACATCAATTTTATGTAATCCGTTGTTAAACTTCTTTATTTTTTCAAATACCCCGTCGTCGGGGAGTTACTAGAAGTAACGGCCCGATTTTGTTTTATGTCTGATATAGATATACAGGGTTGTCCATATTCGATGGACCCATCTGGCAACGTCATAACTTTTGACAGAGATGTCACATCGCTTAATGACATACCGCGTTTGAAGCGTTAGTCCAAGCAGATTTTTACCATGAACCAATATACGCCACGCGAGCGCTCTGAAATTTACATTCAGCAGAAGAAGTCAATTGTGAAAACTCAACGTGCTTTTAAAACATTAAAAAATGTGAGAAGTGCGCCTTCTAAGAACACCATTTTCGACTGGTAAGGCTCTTTCTAATCCGAAGAGGCCATATAAAAGTCGACCAAGGCGATCGGCCGAGAATATCGCTGCCCTACGAGCCAGTGTTGAGAGGTCCCCAAGAACATCCCAAAAACGCCGTTCTCAGCAGTTGGGCATGGCTCGGTCCACTTTACAACGGATTATTCGCATTGATTTGCATTTGTTCCCGTACAAAAATCAATTGACGCAAAGAATGTTGCCTGAGAACAAGCCTTGTCGATTGGAATGGGCCCAAAGAGTCATGGGTCCTTCGAATATGGGCAACCCTGTACTCGATATAAACATATAAAGAAATTGATTTGTTTCAATACTTCTTTCCTAATGTACTGAAATGGATTTTTTCCACAAGGACCTAGTCTGTTCGATGAGAAGGCACATTTTGGCCGGGTCAAATCGGCACTGTAGCCCTAAAGCAGAGAGAATGGAAAATTACTATAGGGTTAGATGAAAAAACTGCAACCAGATGAAAAAACTGCAACCAGATGAAAAAACTGCAACAGGCCACTCGTTCGACAGCTCGAAACCCGCATCGCAGTGGCCAAAAAATTCCTCGTGAGCGAAACATATCGCAATATTCCATTCGGCAAATATTGAAAAATGAGCTCGGGGTAAAGCCATTGAAATTCCAAAAAATGCAAGAACCTACACCGCAACGGAAAGAAAATAGTTTGAGTCTATATGTCTATATATGAGAGCTAAAGAGTTGCTTCACTTGGCCAAAAGTGGTGAACTGCCGAATTTGGTTTTCTCCGATGAGAAAACATTCGTTGTCCAGCAGTTTGTAAACAAACAAAATTATCGGGTTTACTTGCCAAAGAGGTCAGCTGAAAATGTGCACCTTCGGTTAGCCACCAGAACTCAAACGCTGGCCATGGTGATGGTGTGGGCCGCCATAACAGCTCGTATTAATCGACCGTGGCATCAGAATAAATGCCGAATATTATCGCGAAAATATTGTGGGGGGTGTATTAAAGCCTTGGGCACGCAAACATTGTGGCCGCCGACCTTGGCGTTGGACAAAAGTCTCAGCACCATCGCACTCCGGAAGTGCCAACCGAGAATGGTTACAAAATGAGGTTCCTCGCATCATTGGCCACCAAAATCTTCGGATACCAATCCGTTGGACTATTGTGTCTGGAGTATTTTGGAAAGCAAGGTTGGCACTAAAAAATACCAAAGTGTAGATAATCCAAGCAAGCGCTTCGCCGGGAATGGGCTAAAACACCGCAAAGCAACATTCGGACAGCGTGTGACGGTTTTATTGGCCGTTTGAAGGCCATAATTAGTGGCAAAGGTGACCAATTCGAACAAATCTAAACGTATTCTAAAAATCTAATACTATTTCCGATATTTTTGCCGTCATTTAATAAAATTAAGAAAAATATGATGGCGTTTGACTTTGTTACATTTTTTTGATCTCACCCTCTACACATTGGAATTATTTAAATTGGAATTTTGTCGGACTATGTCACATATAGCCCCATTTTGTAATCCATCAGACTATCATTTTTCCCCATTTAAACAAGAATTATCCACTTTTCTTACCCTCGACTGCAGCTCACTGAAGTAATAATTCATGGCATATGTTAGCAAACTTGTAATGATCAAAAATTTAAACCATTTTTCCTTTCGACTTGTAGATTTTTTATGTTCTCCAAGGAAATTCTGAATACTTTCGTTTTTCAACAAATCAATATTTTCCTGTTGACACTTGGCCAAAATCTCTTGCAACTTTTTCTGGGCACACTCCATAATAGAAGAAAAAATAATAACGATTTCAAATACAACCGCTCACTAGAAGACACAAAACACGACTAACACCGCAAACCATATTGTCACGGAGCTTAAGAGATTTTATGTAGGTCTTAGACCACCATCAGCCAACCACCCTGCTCTTGAAATCCTTTCAATTGTTAATAATGCGTTTTATCTGATCCTTATGGTGTTCAGTTGTGAAGTTGATTAAAGCGAAAGTGTAATGTGGGTGTGTGCTGATAGAATGGTAGCACATTTAGAGTTGCTTAATATTTTTTTAGGGGTGGGAGTTGTCTGGTCGCATGTGATAAAAAACTGAACAGTTAAATGAAACAATAACCTAATAACACTGATTTAATGCTTTACTTCATTTGTTCTTCCTGTTTTCTTTTTAGAAATCCTTATGGAAATGGCGATTCAACTTGTATAACATATGATGCTGTAAATGCTGCCTATTTGGATGCCCGCAAGAGAATACGTAAGTGGAAAATTTTCTTATGAAAAGTTTATAATGTTTAAGAAATTCTGTTTGTATAGCCTACAACACTATGTGTTGGGGGTATTATAAGTTTGTTTGGGCCAAAAATATGTAACACCTCAAAATATTGGTTTCCCACATAGGAAACCGCGATTTTTTTTTTAACCCGGCGAAATCACAAATAGACAAACAGGTCAATTCTGACCGTTATGTAGATGCCGATAGTAAATATATCATATATATAGCGAAATATATACAAAGGAAGGAGATGTTAGCTAGAATGCTTATAACTCAAGAATGGCTGGACCGATTTTGACAAATTTTGTCAATTAGAATGCCCTCTTGGCATAAAAGAATAAAATCTAAAAAAATGGGAAAAAAGATGCCTATAATGATGTTAATATAGATTTTGTATTATTTTTTTTTATATTTTTTTTCGTATGACTTATTGAAGTATATATTATGTTTAAATGAACCAAAAACAGAAACATTTTCTTTATCACACAATTGAAAGCAATCGACACGAAATATTCCATCAGAAGAGATTTAAGGAAAGCGAAGAAGTCGAGCATTTGGGATGACCATTGGATTATATTTAGTTGTAAAATGGACCACAACAACTAACAGCACGACGGTATTAAGTGCAATGCCATGTCAGAGCACTTTTATAAAGGATAAATGTGGAACTCTTAATGTTGTGCTACCTGTCAGTGTTGGTGTCGAGCGGAACCACGTTTTTTTACCCTAACAATTTTTATACCCTCCACAATACTATGGAGGGTATATTAACTTTGTCATTCCATTTGTAACTCCTCGAAATACTCATGTCAGACCCAACAAAGTATATATATTCTTGATCAGCGTAAAATTCTATTCATTCACCGGAATTGTTTCAAATTTGGTATATGAAGTTCCAAATGGATACTACACCCTAAGATAGAAAATTGTCTGTGCAAGTCCATGTCTTCGTATAGCCGCCATATAACGGTACCTCCCGATATTCGGTATTTTGATGATTTTAGCGACCTTTTTCCCGGAAGGAATTTAAATTTTGGTATATGAAGTTCGTAGTGGGTACTACACCCTAAGACAGAAAATTGTCTGTGCAGGTCCACGTCTACGTATAGCCCCCGTATAACGTTACCTGCCGATATTCGGTATTTTGATGATTTTAACGACATTATTCACGGGAATTGTTTCAAATTTGGTACTTAAAGTTCAAAATGGATACTACAGCCTATGACAGAAAATTGTCTGTGCAGGTCCACGTCTTCGTATAGCCTCCATATAACGGTATCTCCCTATATTCGGTATTTTGATGATTTTAGCGACATTATTTTACGGAATTGTTTAAAAATTGGTATTTGAAGTTCCTTATGGGAACTACAGTCTGTGACAGAAAAGTGTCTGTGCGGGTCCAGGTCTTCGTATAGGCTCCATATATCAGTACCTCCCTATATTCGGTATATTGACGATTTTAGGTACAATACCCACCGAAATTGTTTGAGATGTGGTATTTGAAGTTCGTAATGGATGCTACAGCCTGTGACAGAAAATTGTCTATGATGGTCCAGGTCTTCGTCTATGTCTATGTTGGTCCAACTCCAATTTAACGGCACCTCCTTATATACGATATTTTGATGATTTTAGCTACATTATTCACCGTTTATTTCAAGTTTCGAATTTGAATATGGTAATGGCTTATGACAAACAATGTATGTCCACGTCGTATAGACCCCAAAATAACGGCTATATTCGGTATTTTTAAAATTTTAAGAGAATTTTTTAAGGATTTTATTTTTTGAAAATTTCCAAATTCGTTGTAAATGGTGGAGTGTATTAAAAGTTCGGCCCGGCCGAACTTACTGCTTTTTAACATGTTTTTATTTACAAATGCTCCTAATTTGGTTGTCGACGCTGAATATCCAACTCATAGCCTCGGTTTTGAAATGGGACACGCACTCCCTTTGTCACAGATGCACATTACCCGTTTACCAAAAATTAAGAATGATTTACAAAACTATAGGTAAGACAGGGGGTAGTTTGCTTACATTACCCTGTAATGACCTATTCGGATCATATGGCCCTGAATCAGCTGGCACGGGGCTAAAGTTGTGACATCAGTGCTGAACGATGGGGAAAATAAAAATAATAAAATTTTACAAAAATTAAAAAAAAAATATTGAAATGGACCTAAACAATACGAAATGTAAGAACCAATAGTACTAAATATTTTATATGTGGTTTTATTAAGGCTTTGGGAATTCCGAATTAAAAAGTTAGCAAAAATACAAAAAGTTCCAGATAATGCACCATTTTAAGTTAGAAATAGACAAAAATAGTCGTAAAATAATCGGAGAGAACAAGCACCCGGAATTTTGACTTTGTTTTATTTATGGTCTCTAAAAATGTATTAGGAGGTTTCTTAATTAAAAACGCACTAAAAATATTTAAAAATAACTGCAAATGGCAAATATGGAAGTAACATCAAGATAAGTGCGTAAAACTGAAAACAAACAGACTGAGAAGATCAAACGATAGTTGAACGAGTAGCACTTTGAACTAGTAGTATTACACATTTTTTTAAATGTAATTTGAAAAAAATTATCTATTGGCAAGCCGATGAATACTTTTTAATCTGTGGCTGAGATTATCTTATATTTGGGAACAAAAATAGGTAATGTACTAATTTAAGTACCATTGATTTTGATTGAGGAATGAATATAATATCGAATTCAATATTGAGATAGAAACCAAGCCACAACTTTAAAATTTGGTATGACAGGCGTGATTGTTGAAGAAAATAAGTAATTTTAGGAATAGGTGAGCAGGATGATTTTTAAAAATCTATGCTAAGGTGATTTTTAAGATCATATTTTAATATCATATAAATATAACACAGACGAAGATGCGGACCCTGATATATAATTAATGATTTTTGTTCCTGGAATTACAATTTTTTATATTTTCTTTATTCATTTTTTCAGATGTTTCCCAGCCCAAAGGCGATTGGAAGGCTGAAGACATTGCCACCGTTGGCGAACTGTTGCTGGATATTTCCATACAATTGGCCAGAACGTAAGTACAGATGAATAAAGCAATTACCAAATATGTGGCGATTATGATGTTGAATTAATCGCTTTTAAATTGGGTACATGGCAAACATATAACCAATTTGGTTGTTTCAAAGTTTTTTTTTTTGAAATTTCGATTAAAATAAAATTATTTAATCTGAAAAATGTTTCAACAAGAAATTTTTGTTACAGTTGCAACACGATTTTGAGTTGCAATTTTGTACTTAACACTAATAACGATAATGGTTTTTGACTTTTTATTGAAAGTTATGCAGAAATTCTTGTTTTAGGCCTCCACAAAATAATGCAATCACAGCAAGCCTTGTTCAAAGGTGCAATTTCGATACAATTACAATGTTTCTTTTTTTCTCTTGAATTTTTGGTCTGGTGCTGTTGTCTGATATTAATTGATAATGGTGATTTTGGTGTAGTTAACATATGTGTGTTATGTAAGCTGCAAGGCATACACTTGTTAAACGTTGTCGAAAAAAAATACTCAAAATGTGATGTAATTTTCAGTGGGTTTTTTATTCAAATAATTCTTAATTATTTTCAAAATATATAACTCAGCACCCACAGTAGGAAAATTAAATTCTACATTTGACACAATTAAAAATTCCAATTTTTATCAAAGTACTTCCCCTTATACCTAACAATGTTGCCATAACATCATTGGCTTGTTATATCATTTTGTGCAGTTTTTGCTTCTCTGTTAGCACCACAAACTAAATATCATTGGATGTACATGTCTGCATTAATGAGACATTTATGAAAAGAGTATTTATGTCACGATTAAATTGTTTTCCAAGAGGAATTCTTCTTTTTTGTTGTTGTTTTTGATCGAAAATGACAAACCTTCTTTTGGAGTGCCTCTCAAAAACCAGTTAATTGAAGTGAAAACCTATAGCACGTGACAGTGGAATGGCAAATTAAAATTATTTCAAAACCAGTAAAGAAAAGTAAAAAGTCGAGCGGGGCCGACTATATGGTACCCTACACCACTATGCATATTTAGTAGAGCTCCCGTAACAAAAGAATTTTTTTGAAGTAGATCATACCACCTATCAACACTTGGCTTTAGATCAGATATAGTTTGGTTCAGAGGGAACTAATATATGCGAGGCATATTCAATTCTAAATCGATTTCCACTAGAGATATTTTAATCTTTTATACCAAATAACATTCCTATATCACTTCGAAAGGGATTATATTAAAATAAGTAAGTAAAGGCTATAGCCGTGCGGGGTCATCCATGTGATACCCACAACACTACAATATGTTCGAAGTCCCCTTATGTCCAAATCCATTTTGGAAGATTTCGCTTTTGAAATAATGTCAAAGAGCACTGCCCAGATGTTACCCGGGGAATTTGGCCAATACTTAAGAACTCCGTCGTGTTTTTAGGTATTCAAAACAATTTTACACGAAAGTTGTGCTACAGCTAAATATAACCCAATTGTCATCCAAAATGCTAGACTTCTTCCCTGTCCTTAACTATCTTTTGATGCGAAATTCAGTGTCGATTAGCTTTCAATTGTGGCCAAAATGCTAGACTTCTTCCCTGTCCTTAACTATCTTTTGATGCGAAATTCAGTGTCGATTAGCTTTCAATTGTGGCCTGTAGAGCGACTACAAAATTAGAAAAATTAAATTTTTTTAGTCATTTGAACATTTAAGTGTACATCTTAAGACATATAGGCTTTAATTCTGCTTGTAACCCATGCTAAATTTCGTGAGGATCGGATAATAATTGCGACACGATATAATACCCTCAAAACGTAGTGTTGCGGAATGTACAATTTAGAAAATTTACACTTAAAAATTGTGAGACAAATGGAAAAAATCGCATGCGATAAAAATATAGAAAAAGAAACAATAAATATTCACTTTTTTATTGGCACATTTTTCCGCGATTTTCTTAGATTTTATCCATATTTAGCAAGAGACCATTCTGAATTGATGGGAATCGGCATAGCGTTTCTTGACTTATAAGCAGAATAAATAAGATCTAAGAATGAGATAAAAAACTGCAACAAGTCAAACGCCATAATTTTTTTATATTTTTTCTTTAATTTTATTGAATGAAAGCAAAAAATGTCGGAAATACCATCAAAATTTAGAATAATAGTTTAGATTTGTTCGAATTGGTCAAGAATTATGGCCTTCAAAAGACCAATGAAACCGTCACAAGCTGCCCGAATGTTGCTCTGCCGTATTTTGGCCCATTCCAGGCGAAGCGCTTGCTAGAAATTATCGACACTTAGTATTTTTTAGTGCCAACCTTGCTTTCCAAAATACTACAGACACAATAGTCCAAAGGATTGGTATACGGAGATTTTGGTGGCCATTGTGCGCTGGAAATGAAGCGAGGAACCTCATTTGGAACCATACTTGGGTGGCGCGTGATGAGTGCGATTGTGCTGAGTCCTGTTGGAATGTCCAAGGTCTGCGGCCAACATGTTTGCGTGTCCAAGGCTTTAATACACCCTCCAGACAATTTTCGCGATAATATTCTGCATTTATTCTGATGCCACGGTCGATAAATACGAGCGGAAAGGAAGCGAGAAACCTCCTTTTGTAACCATTCTTGGTTGGCGCGTGCTGAGTCCTGTTGGAATGTACAAGGTCTGTGGCCAAAATCTTTGCATGCCCACTGCTGCAATACACCCTCCAGAATATTTTCGCGATAATATTCGGCATTTATTCTGATGCCACGTTCGATTAATACGAGCGGAGAGCGACCATCGGCTGTTATAACGGCCCATACTATCACCATGGCCGGCGTTTGAGTTCTGGTGGCCAAGCGAATGTGCATATTTTCAGCTGACCTCTTTGGCAAGTAAACACGATCATTTTGTTTGTTTACAAGCTGCTGGACAAAGAATCTTTTCTCTTCGGAGAAAACCAAATTCGGCAGTTTACCACTTTCGTCCAAGCGAAGCACCTCTTTAGCTCTACTGAGTCTGTTTTCTTTCTGTTGCGGTGTAAGTTCTTGCACTTTTTGGAATTTCAATTGCTTTACCCCGAGCTCATTTTTTAATATTTGCCGAATGGAATATTGCGATATGTTCAGCTCACGAGCCATTTTTCGGCCACTGAGACGTGGGTTTCGATCAAGTCGCTTCTTTACTTTTCAAACCATTTCTGCTGATGTTGCTGTTTTCTTCCGTCCATTTCCTTGAGGTCGGGAATTGAATGAATTCCATCACGAATAACTTTTTTCGGGAAAATTCTCACCAAAATGCTTTTGTACGCTTGTAAACAATATAATGAGCTGTCACTGGAATAATTTTAACAGCTGTCGGACGAGTGGCTTAGAAATGGCAGCAGTCCGAAGTTGGTTGCAGTTGGTTTAGTTTATCTCACCCTGTATATGGGAGATATATTCATATATGATGCGATCTCTAAAAAAATTTGACAAATGTATTTCAGGGCTGTATATGTTATCTGGTATCAAAAATTATTCTTGTGCAGTGCATATTACGCATGTGAGGGACTTAAAACGCCAAATCGGGAGCAATAGCAATATCTGAACCGATTTTCTCCATATTAGATGTACTTGCTTCTAGTGTCAAAATTCACTTTATTAGCCGTTTGGTGTACAATTAACCTGAAATCGGTTGAAGATATATATGGAAGCTGTATCTAAATTGGAACTGATTATCACCAATTTCAAAAGCGTTCGTCCTTGGCCAAATAAATATTTAATTTCGTTTATTTCATCTCAATCGGATAATAAATTCAACCTGCATTTTAGGCACAAAACAATATCAAAATAATAAAATAATAATAGCCGGCCGGACGGCAGGCATAAATCGACTCCGAAAGTGATTCTATGAAAATCTTCAAAAGGACTAAGGGTCTATCTCGCTTCCTTCTTCATGTTACAAACAATTGCACAAAGTCATAATATTTTTGCAACTATGTGGTGTAGGGTATAAAAAGTTGCCAAGGAGTTTGTTGTTCTTATTTCTAGTAGAGACCAAAGTAAGAGATGTTTCTAGAGGATTTTTGATTCCAAAAACTAAATGCTGAGTGGTGTTCTCAACAACAAGATACCAAAATCCCTTTATGACATTGTACCAACTGAAATCGGTCGGTAACGCAAAGGGTATGTTATGGCAAAAAGTTGACCTAAAAAACAATTTTTTTAAATAAACTCTTCCTATTTTTATATAAGATTTTTTGGGCAACACCTATACAATCAATTTAATTTTGGCCCACTTTACACAATCAGCTTTTCCCATAATACCAAAAATCTCCCATAAATTTTCATATTATCCATCTAACAAATGTATTTTGCATTTTTTATATTTTTCCTTAATTTACACTCCCATTAAAACCTCTTAAAATACTCTTCAATAGACTTTAGAAATAATTTACAACTTCCTGACAATAACCAGTACTAAAAACTCGCCCACCCAGTGCCCAATGCGGATTCAACAATCCCACTAAAAAAATAAAAAAAAATATTAATCATCAATGCCAAATTGATGGTACAACAAGTGTTGAAGTCAACAAATGAACTTAACAGGCCAGATATGCAATGCCGCGAAAAAAGAAACAACAATTCACAAATCATTTTGTTTTTAACTCAAGTATCCAAAAGAAACAAAACAAAAAAAAAACATTCAAAGCCTTACTTTTGTTTGGAACCTTGTTTAGGAGTCAACATCCTCTGCCAATGGGACGAGCGAGCAACAACAAATTAAATTTGAAAATCGAAAACGTTTTCGAAAAATAAATAAACAAATATTATGTAACAAATTTGTTGCACTTCGGTCGCCACTTGCATTTTGGGGGGTGACTGTTTAGCTTTTGGCCGGGAATGTTGTCTCCTTTGAAGTGCAGAGAAGCAGAAGTATCCATCCAACAAATTTTGTGATTGAGATTAGAGTGAAGATGGAAGATGTTTTCGTCGACGTTGTTGGATTTCGGGTTTTTGGATTTGAGTTTTTGTTGTTGTTTCTTGTGCTGTGCCTGGCGACGTTTAAATGTATCTA